TTATAACACTAAGCATTACTGTATCATCTTTATCAGTTACCACTAAATTCAATTTTTATTTTCTCTTCTACGCTCTTTATTTTTTGGGTTGAGCATTAACCATCTGAGCGATTTAAAAATTTTAATTTTATTCATTCAAATACTGATAAAATAAATTGATATACAATTTTTGTGTCTTAATAGAAATAACCATATCAAAAGTATGACCATTTCCATTATTAGCATTAATCCTTTAAGAAGTGATACAATTATTTGAACTTTTCATACTTTAGTTATATTTCAATTGATATTTGCTATAAAGATCAATCTATAATTAGAAGATCGACATATTGAAACAACTTTCTTAACATCTTTGACACATATCATTATTAAAAAAATAGAGTTTATAGGAGAGAATAAACACATAAAGTAAGCAATTTGCGTTTCAAAGAAGGAAGAATACATTTGTGAGAAGTACTCTCTTCACATCATTATTAATAAAAATAAATAGTACTTTTAAAACCATCTCATATATCTACTCATTGATAAATTTTCTTTTGGAATGCTGCTTTAATGTAAGTGAAAAAAAATATACATTGTACCTTTTGAGTCATCTTTTAAATATGATGATACACTAAAATCCTAGAATTTTATGTAAATAAAGGACAGTCCTTTTTCTCACATATGCAGAGAGAAGCAGCAAATGAATGCCTAATTACTTGAATTAAATCATCAACACGATAATTTGATAATCTCAGTATGAGTAGAGGTGGTATTAAAACAGGATATAACTTTATCTTTCTTTCTTCATTTGATAAAGCCATTATCGAATACATAAATTTCATTAACTTCAAAAATTATAATTTCGGGATATTTAATATTAAAACATATTATTCTTATTAAGTGGTGAAGATAAATTATGAAAAATTCAAAATCTAAAAACAATTACTATGGCCCTGCGAACTGAAGAAACCTTATTTTTGAAGTAGTCCTTTGAAATATAACATATACTACTTTTATTGAACTCTTATCATTATTCTTTGAGATTTATATGGAATTAAAAAAATATTTTTGTGTTCATTCTACTAGATGAATAGTTTTAAACTTTTTAATTCTTATCTGTAAAAATATAAAATAAGAGATTCTTATATAAATATTAATTTTCCATT